CATATTAAACTTCAAATGGCTGCAGAGAGAGAAGAAAATATTGACTGCCTGTCTTTAATCAGAAAGTAATTTTATTAAGAATACTGCTAAGAGGATAATTATCTTCTGTAAATTCCTTGGTATCTTAGCAGAAAATATATATCTTCTATTTTTTTTTTTTTTGTCTTTTTCATTTTTATCAGTACCAGGGATCGAACTCATGACTGCCTGCTTGCAAGGCAGGCGCTTATACTGCTGAGCTAAATTCCTAGTCCCTATATCTTCTATTTTAAGTGATGTTTAAATCTAAACAAAAGTAATCATATAATTACACCTAATCAAAGCAGGCCCTATGGAAACAAAGTACACAACTACAGAATGTCTGCACATATAGAACTCACATGATGACTAGAGCTTGAATTAATAAAAAATATTATCATAAAAGAACTGTCTTAAAGAAATGTTACTTAAGGAAGAGCTGCTTAAATTATAACTTTGAATGGCACCTTGAATTTCAGATTAAAGTAATCTTAAGATCTAAGGAACATGCATCCTCAGTTACCTTCTAGCTTAGGATGAAAAACTGTATGTAAAGCCCTTTTCTTTCACCAAAAATTATATTCATTTTTGGAAATATACCAGAAAGGAAAGAATTGATTTCTATCCTTTGTTTTCTAGTTTGTTTACAACCAAGATTTTGTTTTAATAAAGACAATCTTAATGTATATTAGAAATGGAACATATGGCAAGACAAAGGTTATTGAAGTTATTTACATTGGGGTAAGGATACTTGTAATTTTCTGGAATGTAAACAATTAATTTTGACCCATTCACCCATTGCATGGAGTAACTTACTTGAAATCATGCACTGTGATCTATATAAGTTTTAGGAAGTGGTGATTTTGAGGTGAACTGTTTTGTTTTGTTTTATATTTTGGAACAAGGTCTTGCTTTGTAGCTCCAGCTGACCTTGAACCCACTATTCAGTCCAGACTGTCCTTGAATTTGCAATGATTCTCCTGCCTCAGCCTCCCAAGTGTTGGCACTACGGTGTGGGCCATCATGCCTGGCTTGGTTTTGAGATTTAATTACAGTATAAAATCTACGGTGATCTCATTTTACTTAAGAGTTGTAAAGACCAGGGAAATCAAGTGATCTATATCTCAGAAATAGTTCAAGTAAGCATTTCCCACTCAGGAAAATGTCTTCTATCTTGGCATATCACACTTACAGTGACAGGACATAATGTTTTCCCTGTTTACTGGGGTACCCACTAATCCAAACTCCTATGAGCTGCCCATACTATAGCTTACATAATTCCAAGTATAAAAGGAAGGCATTCATTATGACATAGCTGTTAAAAAGACACTGTTTTCTAATCTCCACAGTCTCTCAAAATTATACTTTTGTGATGCACTGCTCTTGTGACCAAGATTGTATCTTTGTCATTTAATCCTTGAGGCTTTTTCATAAGAAATAACCTATGTATGTATCAGCTATGGTGCAACAAAAACCTTACAAAAATACAAAAATGAAGCTTTAATGATTCACAGAAACAAATTACTCAACTGTTTCTTCCCCATGTCAAAATTTTTGTAGCCATCTCACAGCAGCTCTATTATATCCAGGTATAAAATGATTTTTAAAAAGTATTAGTGTTTCTCTTCCTCTAGGATCACCCCTCAGGGCCTCATGCACACTATGTATACACTCTGCCACTGAACTATACCCCTGGCCCTATGATGTCAATATACACGAAGAATTGTGTAGCCAGGCATAGTACTAGTCCTGGGCACTGTAATCCTAGTTACTTGGAGGTTGAGGACTGTTTGAGCCCAGGACTTTGAGGCCAGCATGGGTAACATAATAAAACCTCATCTCAAAATAGGACCAAAAATAGCTAGGTGTAGTTGTGCATACCCATAATCCCAGCACTCAGGAGGCTGAGGCAGGAGGATTGCCCCAAGTCTAAGCTCGAGACCAGCTGGATACATAGTGAGACCCTGTCTCGTAAAGACAAGACAAAACAACCAATAAATAGGATAAAAATCAAAAAAGAGTCATGAATAGGCGAATAATATCCAAGATAGCCCACATTCATCATGAAAATTGACCCTTTCCACTATAAGCTAAAACTGTCTGTGTTGCTTTCAATTTATTTAAACTTTTACAATAATTGGTCTTTGAAATGTAATTCATAACATCTTATTGATAATGATAAATTTTACTGTTTATTTATTGGCTAGGGGTTATTTACTTATAAAAATAAAGTATAAAAATCTGATTATTGGATCATTTATGTATTATAAACATGAACTAAAATCTCCCCCTCCCCTGTCTGGCAATTACCATAGTAATTTATTCTTAAAAATTTTATAGGTCAGAAGCCAGTAAACAATCCTGTCCAAGATTTTGTTGATTCTTCTATTGTTAAATTATCTGCTCAAATGTGAACAGGTTAGTATGCTGTTAGGCCAGATAAAGAAATATATAAGCTGGTGTAGTTGAAGTAATCTGGCCGAAACTTTGCCTTTCCTCTTAATTTTATATAAAAGATATTTCTCAGTAATTTGAACATTATTTTAAGGGAAAACCCTAAAATGTTTAGTTTTTTTTAGTTATTTCTTTTTTTATAGTAAAATTAAGTTTTATTTACAGTACTCTTAGTCAAACATATTTGAGAGTAGGCATTTTTGTTGTGTATACTAAGACTAAATTACAATTAGATTGATAGATATCTTGATAATTCATTTAAATTCAATTTATTGCAGGGCATGGTGGTACACACCTGTAATCCCAGCACTAGGGAGACTGAGGCAGAAGGCTCACTGTCAGTTCAAGGCTAGCCTGAGTTACATACGACAGTTCAAGGCTAACCTGTACCACATAGCAAGACCCTGTCTCAAACAAACAACAACAACAAATTCAACTTATTTTTAAAGTGAAGATGTACATGTTTAGTTTTAAATTTCTGAGATTTCAAGTTAGTGGGAAGATACTGCAATTCTTAAGGATGGACATGGAGCTACAAAGACCCATAGGAAAAATTAACTCTCAGTACACTCTTTTAAGAGTCATTTAATATTTGAATTTTGACTTTAGAGCCTATTTAAAAGCATATGACTATGCTTGAGAACTCATTCGTATCAAAAAGATAAAATTCTGTATTAACAGCAAGCAATAAACAAAAGCTTCCAAACTTAAATTAGTAAATATTTGGGGCTGGGGATTTAGCTCAGCGGCATAAGCACCTGCCTTGCAAGCAGGTAGTCGTGAGTTCGATCCCTGGTACCGATAAAAAGGAAAAAGACAAAAAAAAATTAGTAAATATTTTTTAGGGAACATTACAGTATAGGCATTTGTCTACACTGTCTGTAATCCCTATTACTTAGGGAGGCTGAGGCAGGAAGATTGTAATTTCAACTCAACCTGAGCAGTTTAGCAACAGAGAGACCCTGTCTCAAAGCTAAAACAAGATTTATAAAGGGCTGGAGATGTAGCTCAGTGTGAAGGCTCTGCATTCAACCTCCGGTAACACACACACACACACACACACACACACACACACACACACCCATTAATAAGAAAGAAATGAAGCAGGGCTCAGGGACAAATGTCTATAATCCCAGCTACTCAGAGGGCTGAGGTGGGAAGACAGAAAGTTTAAGCCTACCCTGTGCAACTTAGTGAGATCTTGGCTTAAAAATAAAATTAAAAGAAAGAACAGTGTAGGTAGCTGAGTGGTAGTGCTTGTTTAGCATGTGTGAGGCACTGGGTTCAATCCTCAACACAACACAACACAACAAAACAAACAGCAACAACAAGAAGCTGGGTATGGTGGCACATGCTTTTAATCCCAGCATTCTGGGAGGCTGAAGCAGGAAGATTCCAAGTTTGAACTCAGGCTGGACAAATTTAGCAACTTGGTGAGACTCTGTCTCAAAAAACAAAAAGGGCTGGTAATGTATTTCATAGTGAGGGCCTGGATACAATTCCCAGTTCTAAAAAATGAAGAGGGAGAAGGAAGGAAAGAAGGAAGGGAAGAAAAAAGGAAAGAAGGGAAGAAGAAAAGAAGGAAAAGGAAGGAAAGAAGGAAGGAAAAGAGAGGAAGAAAGGAAGGAAAAGAAAGGAAGGAAGGAAAGGAATACATCATGGGCTCTGCTCTCCATCTCAGCTCTCACTGCTCTGGTTTACTTGATAAGTTAATTAACATCTCTGTGTCTCAGTTTTCTTTCTTTTTTTTTTTTTTTTTTTTTTTTTTTGTCTTTTTCATTTTTTATCGGTACCAGGGATCGAACTCACGACTACCTGCTTGCAGGGCAGGCGCTTATGCCACTGAGCTAAATCCCCAGCCCCTGTGTCTCAGTTTTCTTAAATAGAGTGGAGATGATGGTTCACACCAGTACCAAGTGAATTAATATTCTATATGTAAAATATGTAGTGTGATGCCTGGCACATAGTACAAGTTCAATAAGTATTAACCATCATTGTTTCTGTCAGTGGGAAGAGCGGCAAAAGGAAAAACTTGAATAAAATACTCAGGTTTGCCCCATTGATCACTGATTAACTTACAAACAGAGATTCCTTTACAAATGATATTATCTAGTAGTTTAAAAATGAAATCCATGTAATGTCACTATCATTTTCTATTCTGCCAAGATCACAACCATACTAACACATTTCTAGACGTAGGCAGATTATATAAATTGACCATTCTCTTACAACAAAACACAAATAAATGTAGGATAAAAATGACAAACATCTGGAATATTTAATTTCTTAAGAAAGAGAAATCTTAAGGGTCATCACTCATCACTTGAGGGTTCAACATGTAGGATTCCAGAAAGCGAGATCAGAAGAAATGGAAGATAGGCAATAGTCACAGAAATGTTATTGCAAAATGTCCAAAAATCATGTCAATCATGAATTTTCATATTCAATAACAGAAATGGTCCACATTTAGATACAAAATATTAAAAGTAGAACATATTAAAGATAAAAAGATAATCTTTTCTTTTTTTTTTTTTTTTGAGGGCGGAGACAGTCTCACTGTGTAGCTCAGGCCAGTGTAGTGCATGCTGGTGCTGAATGTGTGCTCCTCCCACCCGGCCCTCATGAGTTCTGGAGCTATGAGCATGTGCTACCACTGCTGCTGGTGGTAAGAAGGTAATCTTAAAAAGAAACAGAAATGACTGTCTACAAATGAAAAAAAAAACATATTTGTTATTGTTGTTTCTTTTGTTTGTTTTTTGTTGGAGACAGCATCTCACTGTGTACTGCACACTGGTCTTAGACTTGAGATCCTTCTGCCCCCATGCATCTAATACCACACCTAGCGTGTAAAAACAATTCTACTTCAAGCAGAATTCTTAATGGAAAATTGAAAGTAATACTCCATGGTCATTTAAGTGCTAAAGTAAATTATCTGGCATTTAAGTGCTAAAGTAAATTATCAACTTAGAATTCTAAACTTAGCTGAACTAAGACATTTTTAGAGAAAAAACCCTGAACTATTAAAAGATGTTCTTTAGCAAGAAAATTAAAGAAAGGACCAGAATGTTTTTTGTTTGTTCGCTGACAGAGTCTTGCTATGCAACTCAGACTGGCTTGAACACACTATGTAACTCAGGCTGACCTCGAACTAACAGTGATCCTCTTGCCTCAGCTTACCAAATACTGGGCTTACAGGTGTGTACCACCATGCCCATCAGGACCAGGATGAAAGAAACAAAGTGGAGGGGAAGGACGCAAATATGTGGGTAAATCTGTTTGTGATAAATGCTGAAATACACAAGTTAAGCCTCTATGGGGTCTGGGGATATTGTTCAGTGATAGAATTCTCGTCTAGACTACACGAGGGCCCAGATTCCACTCTTAGTAACACACACATACACACACCCACCTTCTATTTCTTTATTAATTCAATGAATATTTTTTAAAGACAGGTAAAAAAAAATCTTGGTGACGGGTCATCATCATGATTACTTTGTGGGGGAACAGAGAAGGCAAGTTGAGCTATTTCTGAGGGTGTTGGTAGTAGTTACATAGGTGTATTCCCTATGATATTTTACTGAGATATCTGCTTATCATTTATATACTTTTCTGTATGTAATGGCATGTATGTGGTATCATATTGAAGAAAGAAATCTGGTCTTTGTCCAAATTTAGGAACACTGTTAATATTGGGTTGTGTTGTGGTGAAGTACTGTGTTGCTTATATTGTTCTGTTCTGATCTGCTTTGTTCTGTCCTCTTTTGTCTTAATCTCTTTAAAATTAAAAAAAAAATTTTAGGAACACCCTAAATTTGGACCCTGACCCTTGGAATCTCCTAAGTGAGAGTCCTGGAGAACCCAACAGAACAATCTCCAGAAAGGCCACGCCTTGATCAGAAGCGTAGAAGTTTTAGCCATCCCCTACCTCTGGGGAAGAGAAGCCGGAAATGGATTACTAACTAATAACCAGTGATTTAATCAACTGCACTTACATGACATCGGTGTCAATTTCCTCTGAGGATCAGATGCAAAGGTTTTGGGTTGGTGCATATCCTGGGGCATTAGGAGCATGGTGTGTCTAGAGCAGCCCTGCAAACTCCACATCCCACCCATACCTTTCTCCCTCCCATTTGACTCTTCTTGTGTCCATTATAAAAAGTGGTTGAATGTAAATAAAGTGTTTTCTTAAGTTTTGTGAGCTGTTCTAACAAAGTACTAAGCCTGGAGAAGGGAGATGGGACTCTCCGATTTAGAGCTGGTCAACTGGAAGTATTCGATTGTCTTGGACTTGTGACTGTTGTCTTAAGTGGGGGCAGTCTTCGAGTATTGAGTGTCTTTAATTTGTGAGATCTTTGCTAATGATATAATATCAGAATTAACCTGTATCATTTGACATGAATTTGGTGTCTGGATAAATGAAGGGGTATGAGAAAAGACACCAGATGTTTGATGTCAAGAGGAAAAAACCTCTCAACTTCTGTAAAAGTTATAAAATGAAACTCTACTTAACAGTTTATATGAAAGTCAAGTTCTGATAGATAATAAAGATGTAAGTTTAAATATGAGTTCTAAAAATGAAAGACAAAATGTATGTTTAGTATTTATATAACCTTGATTGCAAAAGAATTTTCCATGCCTAATACCAATGGTGGAAGTCACTAGTAGCTTTGACTATGTAAAAATAAAACAATAATAACAATGCTTTTATACTGAAAACACTGTGATAATATAAAACATAAACATCAAAGAGAGGAAAAAGATAAATACAACATGAATGGAAATAAATGTACATAGGTTTTTTTTTTTTTTTTTTTGTCTTTTTCATTTTTATCGGTACCAGGGATCGAACTCACAACTGCCTGCTTGCAAGGCAGGCGCTTATGCCGCTGAGCTAAATCCCCAGCCCCTTACATAGGTATTTTAAAAAATTATTAGAAAAAATAAAAAGCATACACCAATTATGAAGTGAGCAAAAAATATGAACTGGCAATTCTCTCTCTCTCTCTCTCTCTCTCTCTCACACACACACACACACACACACACACACACACACACATCAAGAGACCAATGAGCTCTGGAACACTGACAGAGAGGGTAACTAGTTTGTCTGAGATCACAAAAGTAGTTAAGAGAGAAAGTTAGAATTTGAACCTAGGGAGTCCTACTCTTGAAATATTTGTTCAGTGAATAAATGGATATATATTTAGCACTATAGGTATTCATATCAGGCTGCGAAGGGCAGGGAGTAAGATGGAATGCACAAGATCCCCTTTTGCTACTTGCTCACCTAAATGTCTATATAGACTTAGAAGTCTGAAGAGAATAACATACAACAGTAGTCTGATCACAAGAACTTTTTGTTCTCTATTTACTTGCTGAATTAAAAAAATTTAGAATAAACACAAAATATTTCCATAATAAAGGAGAAAGCTATGTTAAAAAATTCAGACAATACACAATAACAAAGTATATGAATACTTTTAATACTCCCAGTAATCTATGCATATAGTGTCAGCATGGATCTCTCAGGGTCTCCATCATTAAATTCAAACATCCTATCATGGTTCTAGTCTCTTTTACCTCTAAGATTTCCTGCCAAATAGCTCTTCCAAAAGAGCTGTGACCATCCTATAATTTCACTGCTTAAAAACCTCTAACAACTCTCCATTTTCTACATAAGTAGAAACTCTTCAGGCTGGCATCCAACACCTTCCATAATTACAGTGTTCAATCAACTCTTTTACTTTGTCCTACACATTCCAGACAGTTGACTACTTTGCTATTCTTTGTACACATATGTTGTTTGAGGCTTTCATGACTTGTTCATAACTTGTGCTTGTAACTGGTTCATGTGGCTAAGCTCTTGTCCAGAATATTTTCTCTTTACATATGCTCATTTTCTATCCATGGCTCAGCTGATACACTATCTTCTCCCTGACATATTCGTTCATTTCTTAGTCACTCTAAGAAACCACGGCTTTCCCCTGTCTCTCTAGGCACTTTCTTACTTTTTATGTTCTATCTTTTCTAAAAGACAATGAATTTCTTGAGATAGGATCTTTAGCTTATTCTTTTTTTTATTCTCTTAGCAAATACTTATTAATTAAATAAATGTTATTAACAAAATAGACAAACTCACAGAATTCAATGCCATTATGTTTGGCTACTTTTAAAGTGCCAGGCTGTGGTTATTAGATTTCACCTTCATTGAAAATAGGAGGTATAAACTGTTACCAGTTCAGGATTGTTTCTGCCCTCTAGGTCTCTAACCTAATAAAGTGACCTATGAACTTAATGGACTACAAATCCTCATCTCAAAAATACTAAATTATTCTCTGAACTGACAGCACAAACACCAGACATTTTGGTGTACAGCAGTTTGATCACTATTGACCAGTCTTTCTAACTACAGTAGATGGGAATACAAGCTTACTGTCCAGGAAAGAGGTGCTTTTCTTTACCTTTTTGTGTTGTGTACAGTGGTTCCTCCCAGGACAATCCTCACTCCAGGAGTAGAACGGTTCAGGTTATAAACTGTCAGGGCCTCTTCATATGTGGCTCCTCCAATTACAAACACAATGATATCCTGAGGTCTGCAATAACGAAGAGAGAGAGACTGTCTCAGAATAAAAAAAAAAAGGGGCAAAGATTTGTTATTATTATTATACACAGAGAACTTTAATTTCTGAATCTCTCCCTCTCTTTTGGTTGAGGAAGCAGAATTAAGGCAGAATAGAATGAAAGGCTTAAAAAAGTTTTAATTATCTGAAATTGGCAGGAAACAGCAGGAAATGCTGAATAGTGATTTGCTTTCTGTTTATGAGCGGATGTCTTAGAATTTCTGTGCTGTGGATTTCAGAATAGCACAATAGTGTTTGCTGGAACTAAATGTAGAAATATTCTTTTATATTCACAAGGCTGCAGAGTGCTACTCTGTGACATGGTATCAGTATAGCAGTAATTTATGCTTGTACTACCCACCACCTTTTACATAGAGGTCTGCATCAAATATTTAGTAGAGTACTATCAGAAGGGCTTCAAGGCTTCTGTCCAAGGACCTCAAAGCATTTTACAAAGTTTTGGTATATTTGGATGTCCCCTTTACACAAGAACTGGAAACATTTAGTATTATGCATATAAAAATGAGAACTCTAGATTAATGGTGTCTCTAGGAACCCCACCTCTTCTTAAAATCTTTGTTTCTGAATCCTTTGATAAACTAAGGAAAAGAAACCATGGAAACCTAAAAGAAAACAAAACAAAATGTGGGTGGAATTCTGCTGCTGGACATACTGATGTACTGATTATATTCAGTAGCCATTTGTTGTTTTATGATGTTTTAATCTTTATCAAAACCAAAGTAGAGAATGGTCTCTTTACTGGCACCTTCTGCAGATATTAAGATCATATGTTCTAAGCTGTTAAAGTTTATCTTGTTTTTCTTTTCTCATGCCATCAAAAGAAGATAAATTTAGTTAATCATAGTAGAAAAGTAATTCTGTTAAATCATCAAGTGGACATTTTTAAAAACTACATCAGGTAACAGTGTCCCTTTTGGAGGTTATGGCCCAGAAAACACCTTCAGATGAGGGCTATACATACACAAGTATAAATCATGAGGAAAGGCTTGCAGTTCTTCACTTCCTTTCTCTTTGTCTCTCCATCTTTTTCTAAAATGCCTTGAAGGAAGTAAATGACAACGTATTTGTTCTTGAAGGGCTTCATGGAAACAGAATCAGGTATTATAACTACTTAAATACGTTCAGATAGGGGCTGGGGATTTAGCTCAGCGGCATAAGCGCCTGCCTTGCAAGCAGGCAGTCGTGAGTTCGATCCCCAGTACCAATAAAAAGGAAAAAGACAAAAAAAAAAAAAAAAAGAAAAGAAAAGGAAAAAATGTTCAGGTAGCCTCTCACTTAGAGATCTCCCACTGACAAGGATGAAAATGCTTCCAATTATGAAGACATGGTTGTTTTGCAATTAGGGTTAGGGTAGACAGTCAATTATGATATTTATATGTGGACTCAGGACATAAAAAACATTGTTTGAAACACTAAATTTACTCTTTAAGTCAAAATACACTTTTATTTGTAACTACCTACCTGAAACATATCTAGCATCACAGTGTTTTTTAAGTTACATACTATGATGTGTTCTAAAATATATTAAGTTTCCTTCTCACTTTAGTTGTCTTGCTGCCTCCTAATTGCCATTCCCAGGTCCTCTCTAGAGATAAGCATTGTAACTTGTCTCTTATGTATCTTTCAGAGATATTATCTACTTGTGCATGGGCATGCACATGTATATTTAAATACAATGGAAGTATTTTATAGTAGCCCTCTGGCCCTTGCTCTTATCTAAGATACATTGTACATTTAAAATTTTGAGAGCTATTACCCAGTTGTTTCCCAGATATCACCTACCAGCAATTTAGAAAAATGAGCATTTCTTCACATCTTTATCATCACTACATGTTTCCAAAGCTTTTGGCTTTTTTAAACTGAAAGTTGAAAAACTAGTATCTCATTATACCTTCCTATCATGATGAGTCCAATCAAGGTCTGAGGCTGAAGATACAGATTTATAAATCACTAGCACATCAAGTTTGGGAGGTGGTACAGTATGAGATTTACTCCAACAATGAGGAGACAGAGGAGGAGTGGGAAACCTCAAAGATCAAAGAAGGAACAGACATATTATAGAAAGGAACTGTAAAACCAGAATAGGGTGCTATGGAGGTCAAATATTTGAAGGAACCAAAACTACATACAAAGTTTAAGAACTATACACAGATAAAGTAAGATTACAGCTGAAAAATGCTCACTAGATTTACCATAGATATCACAATGATTATGGTGACAGTAGTTTTGGTGGAAAGGTCTTAAATTATTTTTAAACCAACTTATGAATTGTATACTCTCAATGTCCTGTTTGGGCTCCCATTATTTTTAATATACATTTTACCTAGATAAAAACTACTATACTCTCATCACTTCATCACTCCACATCTTTCTCTTTAGTCTTAACCTTTTTTTTTTTGAGACAGGGTTTCACTATGCAGTTAAGGCTAGCCTTGAACTTGGTTTGTAGCCCAGGCGGGCCTTGAACTCAAGGTGATCTTACTGCTTCAGCCTCCTGAATGCTGCAATTACAGGACTGTGCAACCATACCCAGCCTTTAGCTCTAACC